AACTGTCAGTGAATCAAGGTTCAGGAATTTCCTGAGACTTCTACTAAAATCCAGCCACCCACAAGGACAATACCCCTGGGTTCTTTGATACATTAAATGCATGTGAAGTACATACTTGAAATATGATGTTCTCTCATTTGTTAACTCTGTGTATGTGTGTTTGTTCTGTCTTCTGATTATAGGACAAAGGTAAACACAACAAATAAGAATCAAAGCTACCATTTTCAAGAATCCTTCTTTGCATATCTCAAAGCAACAGTCATAAACAGATCTCTTCAGGTACACTTTGCTGACTGCTGCTACCCACAAAGTCCTGGTTCTGCACACTGCTGGCACTCCATGTTTGCTGAACTGGCTAAACACTGGTTTGTCTCCATAGTCAACCACCCCAAACAGCACACAGATAATTACTTCTTGGAAAAATTCCAACCAGTGTTTGAAGTTGCCTGTGTGTTTTTCTTTCAAGACCAGCTCTGTAGGATCACACTATTTTTATAATTTTTCCTTTGATTGTAAAGAAAATGCCATCTACTTGAGCAAGCGCTTCATTTGAAACTCCTGCCACACTAACACAAGCTCATTCAAGACCTCATTCTGAAACTTGTGCAGCATCTTTTCGAGAAAATACACAGTCTCTCCTGCTGAACACAAGCTAAGAAAATGTAGAATCTGGTATTAACATATGAACTAAGGGCAATTTAAATGTATTCTTTTTTTTTAATTAAAAAATTTTAAATCAAAATGTTACAAACTTGGCCTTTACTAGAAGCAACTGCTTTTTCCTTCATTTGCCAAAAGTATCCCATTATAAAATTAGTTTGAAGCATAACTTTTACAGCTTAAAAACAAAAATGTTGCCAGTAGTGGTGGCACATGTTTTAATCCTAGCATTTGGGAGGCAGAGGCAGGTAGATCTCTGTGAGATCAAGGCCACCCTGGTCTACACATCTACTTCTTAGCTGGCCAGTGATTCATAGTGAGACCCTGTGACAAAATGTTAAAATCTAACATGTGACAATAATGTTAAATCTAACATAAATCTAAATAGACAAAAGGAAGACAAGTTTTGATAAAAGTTAAAACATTATTTCTTACTTTGCATAATTTAGGATCATTCCTATAGTTTATAGAATATCTCTAGAAAATAATTTGAAATGACCTTGGCCCTTGCTATCCTAAATTTAATACCTTCAGAATAAATTCACCCTTTTCTTCTGCTTTAAGAGGAAATGAACCAAATCCTAGGGATTTGGGCCTTTGAACCAACACTAAAGAGATGAAATCCTGTTTGATGTGTATAAACATTAGAGAATCCATTTTAACAAAAGGATAAGATCCTGTGAGAAAATACTGTCCTTCCTGAAGGTGTTCTCTCATTCCAACTGAGAGATGATTTCCAAGGGGTGGAGATGGGGTGCAGCTGCCACAGCATCACATCTGTGGAGGCAGCTATTGCATTCCTTTCTCAAAGTGCACTGAGGATGGATATTCAGAACACAGGAGAGGCAAGTGCCTTTGACTTTACCAGAATGTAAGGCCAAACTTAAAGTCAGAGTAAAGAATATAACAAGAGCAGTATAAATTCATTCTTTGAAATCTATAGTTCACTAAATCTTTATAACATTATTTTGCAAGCTTTACTGAAGTAGCATCTTAATATTTAACAATATTTCAACATCAGAAGGCCTTAGCAAGTTAAACCCTAGTCCCACATTTCACAACCAATCCTTTTTACTTTTCAGACTTAAATTTTATTTGTTTTCATTAATTGATGAATACTAGGAATTTTATGTATCTATCCACTTTCCAGAAACTTAAATGAAGATAAAATCTGAACATACTTTCACTTTCTCACACACACACACACACACACACACACACACACATTAGAGTGTTAAATCATTCATACTAATTTGGGTACACCATCTAAGTTAAACCTCAACAGCACCAGGGATGATGGTGAGCAAGTGATTCCAACAGTCCCTGTCTGAACAATTTCTGGAACTTTAGCTGTAAATATTGACAAAAGGGGGCTCTTTTTCCTACTGGGACTAAAGTGATAGCATCTTCTAAAGACTATCTATCATGCAGAAACAATCTGATGGAACATGCAGTCAAATCTTGGAAAGAAATTCTAGTATCCCAGGGACAGGTCCAAGAGTGCCTTACACAGTGAAATCTACCCTAGGCTTTTTGCTAACAAAATGACAAGGCCACAAGGAAGCCTGACTAAATTTGACATTTCTAACAAATTTCCTTCTCATATACATCCTTTCTGACCTCACTATTTAGAAAGCACATATTATAAGCATTATATACATGTTCATTTTTTTTTTGTTAACACAGTACATGGGAAAGGGATGAGGGAGCTAGGGGGAATGATGGCTTTAGAATCTCACATGGGGAGAATTGGGGATTACAGGCCCCCACAATATTCATCAAACGAAGGAATAAGGGGTTTAAGGCAGTGCCAGGAGGTGATTCATTAATCTCAGAATGGTAATCAGGGGGGCTTCTGCAAGTGACCCAGGCTGGCAATCATGAACCATGGGCAGACTTATGAGAATTGCTTGAATAAGGATACAGAGATGGATTGGGTTTCCACGTGGAGAGTCGTTCCACTTTTCATGTCTATGTGAGCTCACCGGGATGGGAGGCAAGGAGGAAGGCAAAGTATGGGTCAGTTAATCATCTGCCGAATGTGCATTCAAAGGCGGCCAGCAGGACCGGAGAAACACAGATGTGGGCCAGGGAGAGGCTGCCACCGAAATAGAAGCGGGAGAATCCACGGCATCAGGTGGTAACAGACCACTGGCCACTGCCGGGAAAGTCTCACTTGTGAGGGCAAGGAGGCTGGCCACCACCTAGCTGAAGGCAATCATCCTGTTTGTATGCTCCATGCAAAAAGCAAGGCTTCCCACCGCCCCAACTCTTGCTCTTTGTTGTAAGGGACATGGCTGTCACTCGGCATGTGCTCAGTAGACATCTGAGGAGTGACCAACAGTGTTGCTGGTGCCAGGCAGTGCAAGGCCACGCTAGGGCTGTATGGGTGTTTTTCCAGGCACCTTCTTAGAGCTGCCCTCTTAAATTAGGTCATGCTCTCACATTAGGCGCTATCACAGCTGGCAATGCTTTCTGAGGATGTCTCAAATAGGAGCTGAAAAACTGCTTTCTTGTTTTAATTTAAAGTGAAACTGCTGCTTTTTCGTCCACTCTTTCCCTGTTATTCCTGCCCACAGCGACTGGTGGACTTCAGGGTAGAGGCGGAGGTCGGGGATGCGGTTTCCTGCATAATTCTTTAAATTGCTACCAAATACATCTCCGAGAAACAAAGGATTCCGGGAAGCGGCCAGGCGTCGCTGTCCGGAATTCGGAGGCCTGCGGTGGGTGAGCTTAGGTCACGGCCAGCAGAGCTGCCCGCCGTCCGGGATGCCACCCGCACAGTCAGCCTGATCTCCGCAGACAGCGAGGTGCGCACGGCCTGGCAAACCGCCACTCACCTGCTCTGACCGCGCACCGAGCAAGGCGACCTGGCAAGCACCAGGGCACCCGAAGCCAGGCGGGCAGCATCTGCTCCTGCTCTGCTGGCTTCTCCCGCATGGAACCGCCAGATCCACTGCCCTGAAGCGCGGCCTACTTGTTCCCATTGCCGGGACCCGCCCGCCCCGGCCCAGACTGGGTCGCTCGCTCCCTTCTCCGCAGTTCCTCTCCCCCCACAGCTGATGCAGCTGTATGTTCACTTTCTGTTTGCAATAACTGTTTAAGTCTATGAGAGAGTGAGAATCCGTGGCCACAAACTACAGGATTCGGTGTCTGCGATGACGCGCAGGTCGGGGTGAAGATGGCACGCGGAGCGGGCACAGACCCAACGCACTCGTTCTAGGCACTAGGAAAAGTGCCGGGCTCGCCTCGCCTAGCCGGCGACTTCCCTCCGTTCCATGCGTCCCGGAGGGAGGGATCGAGCGGCTCGCAGTGCCCCGACCTCCTCCGCGGCGTTGCAGGAGACTGCGAGGACGGCGAGGGTCCGGGTGCGGCTGGGAGGCCTCCCGAGACCCCGCGCCACGTGCGCCCCCAGGCCACCGCACAGGCCCCGCCCCGTGGCGCACGCGCGCGCCCTGCTGCCCGGCCCGGGCCCGCGGCGAAGCGGAGGCAGAGGCTGCCCCGCGCCCCGCGCCCACGGGGGGGCGCTCCCCTCCCGCCCACACCCACACGTCGCCTGTCGGCCGGCAGCTATTCGGAACTCGCGTCCTACCTGAGGGCGGCCGAGGGAGGTGAGCGAAGAGGCTGCGGCGGCTGAGGGGATCGCGGCCCCAGACGCTAGGCACCGAGCGAGCGGCCACGGCGGACCGTCCGGACGCGCGCGCGCGCTCCCCGCCCTCGCTCCCTCAGTTGACTCCCGGCCCGAGCCCAGCCCAGCTGCCGCGCGCCGCCCGCCTCGCCGCGCCTAATAACAACGGCGCCCGGGGTCAGGTGGCCGCGCGCGGACAGGGCGGCCATTGGCTCGGCGGGGAGCGCGGTGCTTCGGGATTGGCCGGGGGGCGGGGCTTCGGCGGGGCGGGGGCGGGGCTGCAGAG